TCTGCCTAGACACTCATTTTCCTGGTAGGACACTTTGAGTTCCGGAAAGACGACGATGAATAACTAAGGCTCAGGGAGAGATAAATACTGCTCTGTCTGCAAAACCACAATGCCTGGCAACCAGCTAGAGTCCCACACTTGGAAACAGAAAGAAATCCTGGGGTTTCTAGAAACCAAACCCACTGGAACCACACAACTTCAGACAAAGCCATTGCCTTCCTTGGGCACAGCTTAATACTCTCTAACGATGATCACAGCAGAAGCCCTATGGACATGTGTACTGTAGCAGTTGGGGAGGGTGTGAGGTGGGAAAAAAAAAGTTTTTTTTTCTTTTAAGTTTCCATGCTTTTGAAGCCTGAGTTGAAATAAGGAGAGAGGAAGCAGCTGAGAAAAGCAGGAACTAATAGGGCAGCTGACTCACAGGCGCAGAATCTCAGGTTCATTTGCTCTCAGAAGAAAATTCTCTCTTTCCAATCAGTTCCACTGTTTTCACTTACCGAGCTGATAGCCTAAAAATAGAGATGAATGTGGAACATTATCTTTTAAAAATGCACCTCCCTCTGGGAATGGTAATAAGCCATCAGCCATTCACACATTGTTGTGAATTAGTTTAATTTAGTGAGTGGCAATTAGAATGGAGGAAATTTAGAAAGTAAGTAATCAGCCTTTATTTTACACATGAGGAAATTATGGTCCAGAGATGGGGGCTTCTTGCTTGAGATCACACAGAACGTAAACAGCAAACAGAGGTAAGCTGCAACTACTACTCTCCCAGGTCTCCTGTGAGATCTGCCGATTCACATTCTCTTGGCATTCATTATGACATTTGTTTATTTATGTGTTTGAGACCGAGTCTCAGTCTGTCACCCAGGCAGGAGTACAGTGGGACGATCTCGGCTCACTGCACCCTCCTCCGCCTCCCAAGTTCAAGTGATTCTCGTGCCTCAGCCTCCCGAGTAGCTGGGATTACAGGCATGAGCCACCACGCCTGGCCATGACTGACATTTAAAATAGTCATCTGTTGAGCATCCCTAGCATGCCAAGTGCAGGAGGAAGAGTTGGAGACACAATAGATGTGGCTGTCACCTCATGGAGCTGATAGTCCAGCTGGGAGACTAGTAAGTGAATACAGGATCAAGGACCACTGCCCAGTAAATGAAGCAACTATGACTTCTGCTACGTTATGAAGAAAGAAAACAAGACATAGAGATCAAGAAGGAGAACGATTTCAGATGAGGTGGCAGAAGAGGCCTCAGGGAATTTCAGCTGGGATCTGGAGGATGAGAAGGTGCCAACCTCGACAGGAGAGTGTGAATAAGTGTAAAAGTTTCAGGAAAGAAAGCTGCATGTGGTCCAGTAACTGACAAAAGGTCAAGGTGCTTTACATTGGACTTTCAAGATCTGGGTTCAAACCCTGGCTCCATAACCTACCAGCTCTGTGGCCTATGCACCTCCTGAGCTCAGGGATTTCGAGGTCATAAGAGATAGTGGTTAGAGATATTGTCTTCATCGAACGGCCTTTGAGATTAGAATTCATTCATTTACATTTCACTTGACTTCTGTTTTGGATAGTTATTGCTAAGTTTCCTATGCTATACAGTGACATTCTTCAGTTCTGAGGAACATAAAAATGTCTTTTACTATCACACTGACTTTCCAAAGTCTAATACTTGGACATTGCTAACTCTGTGACTTTATTTTAAGATCTTGACACGGTTCTAATTATACATTATATCTTTATTTCATTGTACTGTTGCTTGATAGTACTGAAGAAGATACTAATACACCTGACTCTGATTTTAATATCACCCTTCGCTCTGTATTTTAATTTCTGCTGCCACTAACAGATGGTAGCCTCTGTGAATTTCTGAAACTGCCCTTTAGAGATGGAATGAAATGGATACCATTTGGAGATGACTGGAAAAGCTCAAAGCAAAATTTATTTTATTGTTCTGTTGTTTTCTTGTGAGTCCCATTAGACGGTTCCTGTGCTATCCAATCGTTCTTATTTATCTATTTATTTATTTAAACCTTCAGTTGATGTATAACATACAGAAAACAGAGTAATAAACTTTCACAAATTGAAGACACATATGCAAACAGCAGCACCCCAGTTAAGAGATAGAATGTTATCAACACTCCAGAAGCCCTTCTTTGACCCCTTAAGTTACAAAATCTTGTAAGGGGGACCACTATTATGACTTCTAATGTCTTATAGTAGTTTTGCCTGCCTTTGTACCTTTTATAAATGAACCCACAAAGTATGCACTCTTTTGTGTCCGACTTCTTTCACTCCACATGTTTGTCATATTCATTCACATTGTTGCCCGTAGTTATAGATCACTTACTGTAGTCGCTACATGGTCTTTCACTGTGGGAAAAGACGACAATTTTTGCATTTTATAGTGGTTGGGTGTTCAGATAGGGTTCCAGCTTGGGGCCACTACAATTAGGGCTGCTGTGAATATTCTTGGACATGCCTTTTGGTGAACATGTACGTACATTTCTATTTATAACTGGGAAGGAAATAACTCGGACCACATCAATTTGAATTTTATTTGCATATTCTTTGAGCAATTAACATAAACACATGCTTTAAAATATTCAAAAGTTACAGAAGAGTGTACAGTAGAAAATAGTTGTCCCTCCTACTTCTGCCCACTAACCACTCCATTCTCCTTCTGAGAAGCTTACTGTTATCCATTTCTTATGAAAAAAAAAAAAAATATATATATATATATATATGGCCCTGGGCACAGTGGCTCACACCTGTGGCACTTTGAGAGGCTGCGGCGGGCAGATCACTTGAGCTCGGGAGCTCAAGACCAGCCTGGCCAACATTATGAGAGCCAGTCTCTAGTAAAAATGCAAAAATCAGCCAGGCGTGGTGGCACATGACTGTAGTCCCAGCTACTTGGGAGGCAGAGGCACGAGAATCACTTGAATCCAGTCAGCGGAGGTTGCAGTGAGCCGTGATCACACCACTCAACTCTAGCCTAGGCAACAGAGAAAGACTCTGTCTCAAAAAATGATAATAATAAATAAATAAGTAAATAAAAATAGCTTTCTTTTTGGAACTATCACATTTTATCAGTTGCAATCACAGCTTTATAAACACATCCTAATTGACTGAACTGCGGTCCTAATAATACTAATAAACCGCGTGTGAACATTATAGTTTACATACTTTTATCTACTCTCACTATTTAATCTTCCCCCAAACTGAGGAGGTAGGCACAGAGTTAAGACAACCATTTAACAGATGAGATAACGAAGCCCCAGAGAAGTCAATCCTTTGCCAAAGAACATGTTGGGTTTCCAATGGCAGAAGTAGGAGTAAATCCAGATTTCTGGCTAAAACTAAGTAACTACTTCTAGTTACCTCCTGCATTAAGGAATCAGAGTTAATATCTGACAGCAACAATGTCAAAACTGACAGTGCCTGGTACCTAGGGCTCCTGTGTCTCTTGGGAGCTAAAGCTGCCCTGGGATCTGTGCTGGACCCAAGCCTCCTTTAGCCGAAAGCTCCCGAGCTCCACAGGGCAGAGTTATCGGGACGTTGAAAGGAGAGGGGGGAAACTCTCATGCCTCCCGACAAAGGTTGGAGATCCCGTGCTCCTTTCCTGCCAGAAAGTCACTCAATCAGATAAATGTGGGTATTCTATTTTTGCATATTCCCCAAGAGACAGCTTTTAAAAAGTTACCTACTGATGATGACCGAGCTAACTCATCTCCACTTCCTGGCCTGTTTGTGCATTTGAGGTCTCATGTTCAGAAAGTGATTCATTTCCTCTTTTTCTTTTAGTTTCCTTTCTCTATTTGTCACCTCTTTTTTTTTTTTTCTCTGAAATCAAAATGGTTCTGTTTATAATCACAGATTTCTGGTTGCAATTTGGCCTGTCATGTTTCCACCCAAGCACTGTGGCTTGCAAGCTTTCCCAGGAACAGCTTGTGTGTTTGAAATGAAGAATACACTATTTTAAAGTTTATTCCAGGGACTTTTAGGGTGGAACTGCCCCTCTTACTTGCCCTATTCCCTTCATTTTAGAAGTGGTCTTTTGACTTTTTTCATAGTATTATTTTACTTGTTATATGTAAGAGGTTTATTTGGAAACAGAATGCTTGTTTGCTGGTGCTGCAAAGAAATAGTACTCGAACATAAATTTAATTTTCTTTTTTTTCCCCATGATCTGTGGTTTTCTTTTTAATTATCTTTAGTCTTGTGATCACACATAATTTTAAAATTTGTATATATCTCTGCTACTTTAATCCTTTTAAGTTGGCAAAAGCACCATTCCCAATCACAAATACACAGTTCCACAGTTTTATGTTTCTGAATGGCTGTTTAAAGACAATCCTAAATTATAACTTAGTTTGACTTACATTGTAAAGAATTCAAGAGTGAGGTTTAACTTGCTTCTATTTTAAAAGCATGTGACCTTATAGATTTATAAGATGTGAGAAGTGTTGAATAATCTTTAATATTACACATAAACAATACTAAAATGCCTTTCGATAAGTAAAAGGAACCATTTTAAATATACGGAATTATAATTAGATTGGCATCGTTAAGGCCAAAACTCTAGACATTGCTACCTTATTTATCTTCAACCCTTGCCTTTAAGAGGCAAATGACAGGTGAATCTTGCTTGGTTCTGAGACAGTGAAGGAATTTCCCCAGTATTTAAATATATTCATATAACCAGCTATATAAATCTAAATATAAAACCAATCTCCAGTAAGTTTTAAGATGGCACGCACCATCTTTGTGAAAAGCTGAACATTACTAACGAAGTCTAATCATATCTTTGGAAGGGGTCAACAGTGATAGCATTTACTGAATTGGAATTACTATTAAAATTCAAAAACTGAACATATTCATTTAACCACAAGCCAGTCTTAGTTTTAAATCAGGACTGCCCAGCAAAATATGCTGTCAGTCATTCACGATCTGAATTCTGGTGTATGAGATCTATTAAAGTATGGTACACATAAAAAAACATGAGACATTTGTTTTGTAATAAATAAGGCAGTGGCCAATTATTACTCATTAGTAGCTTTTTTGAGATAAGCTATCAAGTCTGCCCTTTCTTCCTTCTTCTTAATGCCGACAAAGATCATTTTTGTTCCAGGGAGGCACTTCTTGGGATTCTCCAAATACTCCATCAGTGTATCCTCTCCCCAGGTGATGCCTTTGTTCTTATTGGCGGCTGTGTAAGAGTATCCAGGGGCCTGAACTGTCTTCCGCCCGAAGAGACCATGGAGATTTGGCCCAGTCTTGTGTTTGCCTCCCTTTTCAACGGTGTGGCACTGGGAACACTTCATAGTAAAAATCTTCTTGCCTTTCTCAACATTACCCATATTTAATTCTCTTTTTAGTCACTGGTGCAACGAAGATTCCCGCTCCGAAGCAGGACGTCCCCACACTCTAACTTTCTTAGTAAGGCCATTTTTACTTTCTGCAGAAAGGGTGCTCGTGGCAGATGGAACAATGGCGAGAGCACATCCAAACAAAGGAAGGAAGCAATTTTTATTCCTTACGCAGTTTGTCCCTGCTACTTTGTCCTGTCTCCATTGGCCAGAGCCAGACAGCACAATCTAAACTAAAACCTGATTGGCTAACAGTTTAAAACTTTTTAAAATAGGTAAAAGTAATGGAAAGACAAAGGAAAAGAGGAAGTTGCATATGCCAAATAGGGAAGGGGCATAGGCTGTGAGCTGGAAGGTGCCTGTGAGCATGTCTGTCACAAATATATTGGTTAAGGTACAAGGACATAGAATGTACTACGTGCCTGTGAGCATGTTTAACAGCTACATAGGATAGGGCCTAACAAAGAGTTATTAGCATAAAGTGAGGAGGCTTGAAGGAAATTAGTCTTTAAAAGAAATTATTATTTTTAACATTTATGATTTATTTTTTAACAAGAAGGGAAACTTTGAAGAGGGAACTTTTTACTTTCACATTACTGATCCAAACTTTTATATTCCTAGGAAGTCAAATGTGTCCTTGGGATTTAGTCTTCACAGCAGGCTTTCAAAATCCAGTCCAGTCCTAAAATGATGAAAATATTCACCTATGATTTATTTAAGAACTTTTCAACGTGTTTGATATTTATATTTAAACATGTGAAATTCTGGAATTTGTTTTGATGCAGATAATGAGGTAGGAAACCGACATTAATGATTTTTTCTGAATGTATAATCAATCCTCTTAAAACTACTTATGGAGGCTGGGCGCAGTGGCTCACGCCTGTAATCTCAGCACTTTGGGAGGCTGAGACAGAAGGATCATCTGAGGTCAGGAGTTTGAGACCAGCCTGGCCAACATGGTGAAACCCCGTATCTACTATAAATACAAAAATTAGCCGGGCATGGTGGTGGGTGCCTGTAATCCCAGCTACTTGGAAGGCTGAGGCAGGAGAATTGCTTGAACCTGGGAGATGGAGGTTGCAGGGAGCAGACATTGCACTACTGCATTCCAGCCTGGGTGACACAGCAAGACCCTGTCTCAGAAAAACAAAAACAAAAACCAAACCAAACCAAACCAAAACAAAAAAACCCACTTATGGAATAATCAATTCACTTTGTCTTCACTGAATTGAAATGCCACCTCCATCATATACATTATTCCTACATTTTAAGGTCTGTATCTTTAGCTCTCTGCTCTGCAGAACTATTTAATACTGTGTTTATATTTGCTTTGTAATATCTTTTTTTTTTTTTTTTTTTTTTTTTGAGACGGAGTCTCGCTCTGCCGCCCAGGCTGGAGTGCAGTGGCCGGATCTCGCAGCCTGTAATCCCAGCACTTTGCTTTGTAATATCTTAAAGGGTAGGGGTGGTTCTCTATGGGCTTCTTACATTCCTAAAAAAAACTCTTCACGGCATTCTAATTGGAATTGCATTGTGTTCATAGAATAATTGGGCAGAGGAATGTCTTCTCATCCAGAAATCTTTCTTCCATTATGTCCTTCAACACACAACCAGGATTCTTCATTTAGGTTTTGCGTACGCCTTAGTAAGCATATTGATAGTTTTAATTTTTTTCAGAGATGGGTTCTTGCTCTGTTGCCCAGGCTGGAGTGTAGTGGCACCATCATAGCTCACTGCAACTAAAAACTCCTAGGCTCAAGCGATCCTCTTGCCTCAGTCTCCTAAGTAGGTGGGACTACAGCTTTAAGCCACCACACTGAGTCTATACATACGTATTTCTTTGTTACTAATTGAATGGTGCTTTTTAAAAACATTGATTTTTCTAACTGATTATGACTGAACTATAGCCTGTTATTGCTGGACTATAATAGACTATAAGAAGGCTGTTTTATTTTTCTTTTCTCTTTCAGAGATGGGATTTCCCTATGTTGCCCAGGCTGGTCTCAAACTCCTGGGCTCAAATGGTCCTCCTCCATTATCCTCCTAAGTAGCTAGGATTACAGGCACAACCCACAGAGCTCAGAGTTGAAGTCTGTTTAAAAAACTAATGTGGTATCGGCTGGGTGTGGTGGCTCATGCCTGTAATCCCAGCATTTTGGGAGGCCAAGGTGGGGAGGATCACCTGAGGTCAGGAGTTCAAGACCAGCCTGGCCAACATGGCAAAACCCCACCTCTACTAAAAATATAAAAATTAGCTAGGTGTGGTGGCAGGTACCTGTAATCCCAGCTATTCGGGAGGCTGAGGCAGGAGAATCACTTGAACTCAGGAGGCGGAGGTTGCAGTGAGCCGAGATCGTGCCACTGTACTCCAGCCTGGGCGACAGAGCAAGATTCCATCTCAAAAAAATAAAAGAAAGAAAGAAAAGAAAAGAAAAAAAGAAATGCCAGGACTGTGGGCACCCACCAGAAGCTAGGAGAGGGAGGGAAGGATTCTTCTGGAGGCTTCATAAAGAGCATGCCCTGAAGGCACCTTGATTTTGGACTTCTTGAGTGCTGTGGCATGATCTTGGCTCACTGCAACCTGATCTCAGCTCACAGCAACGTCTGCCTCCTGGGTTCAAGTGATTCCCCTACCTCAGCCTCCCAAGTAGCTGGGACTACAGGTGTGCACCACTGCCTGGCTAATTTTTGTATTTTTATTAGAGACGGGGTTTCACCATGTTGCTCAGGCTGGTCTCGAACTCCTGATTTTAAGTCATCCGCCCACCTCGGCCTCCCAAAGTGCTGGGATCATAGGTGTGAGCCACCGTGCCTGGCCTGAGAGAATACTTTTCTATTGTTTTAAACCACCTAGAGTGTGGTACTTTGTTACAGCAGCCCTAGGAAGCTAGCATAAGATAAAATGTCAATTACAATGACGCTGAAACAAAAAAAACAAGACATTTTCGACTACAATGTGGTTCTACCCTAGTCAGGAAATATGGGAGTTTTAATAAGATAGGTTGAAACAGTGACTATCTTTGCTGACACTGCCATTTGTACTAGAATTACCATAATATTTTTACAAGTCACACTGTCTTGGGTCTTAGCTTGGTTAATCTACTCACACCACAGTCAGAGTGACTTTCTAGAGTTTTATTACATCAACTACCTGCTAAAAACCTTCCATAGTTCCCTATTGCCCCCACGATAATATCCAAACTTCTCCAGTGGCTTTTCTCCCTATGGCTTCTTGCCACTCCTGGCTTCACACTGCTGTCAGTCTCTGCCGAGAATGTCCTTCTTCCCTTTGGTTAGTGTGATTGCTTAGCCAACTTCTATTCGAGCCTCAGGTCCCTATGTGGATGCCTTTTCCTACTGATTGCTCTCCCCAGCAACCCTGTAATCTGCATTAATTTCCCTGGCTCAGGACTGACACACATCTTATCGCACCTGCTGGGTTACTATCTATATCACCCTCTGGCCTTGCTACTCAAACTTGTCCACAGAGCAGAAGCAGCAACACAGCCAGAGTTCACGAAAGATGCAGAATCTCAGGTCAAAGCAGAGCTCCAGAATCAGATGTACATTTTAAGAAGATACTCAAGTGATTCTTATGCACATGAAGTTTCTGAGTTACTGGTCTCTCAACTGAAGATTGCATAAGGGGCAGGGGCATTGCCTTCCCTTGGCCTAGTTCAGTGTCTGTCTTTTTGTTTTTTTATTTGTTCGTTTGTTTGTTTTTTGAGACAGAGTTTCGCTCTTGTCGCCCAGGCTGGAGTGCAATGTCGTGATCTCGGCTCACTGCAACCTCCACCTCCCGGGTTCAAACAGTTCTCCTGCCTCAGCCTCCCCAGTAGCTGGGATTACAGGCATGTGCCACCACACCCAGCTAATTTTGTATTTTTAGTCGAGATGGGTTTTCACCATGTTGGTCAGGCTGGTCTCGAACTCTTGACCTCAGGTGATCCACCCACCTTGGCCTCCTAAAGTGCTGGGATTACAAGCGTGAGCCACACCGTGCCTGGCCTCAGTGTCTGTCTTAAAGAGAGATTTTTTTTTTTTTTTTGAGACAGATTTTTACTCTGTTGCCCAGGCTGAGTGCACTGGCGCCATCTCAGCACACTGCAACCTCTGCCTGGGTTCAAGCGATTCTCCTGTCTCAGCCCAGCCTCCCGAGTAGCTGGGATTACAGGATTACAGGCGTGCACCACCACGCCTGGCTAATTTTTGTATTTTTAGTAGAGACGGGGTTTTGCCACATTGGCCAGGCTGGCGGACTCCCGACCTCAAGTGATCTGCCTGCCTTGGCTTTCCAAAGTGCTGGGATTACAGGCATGACAGATACAATCCATCAAATATTCCGGCTAATTTCCTGTTAACAAACATGTTATACAGGAAACCAACAACAACAAGTTTCCCTTTTATTAGAACAAACACAATGAGATCTACAGCCTGTATATTTTATCCCAGGCTGACTCTAAATATGCCTCATTTATATCTCATATCTTCTTGTTTAACGGTCAAATCCTAGTTTCTGCATGAAATGTACGAATGACTATTCTATTACTAATCATGCTTGTCTTGTTTGTCATTGTGGTTCATATATACATATATATACTTTTTTTAACACTGACATTGAAATGATCAGATGTGCACTGTCATTTTTGAACTTGTTTCATGAAAAAGGATTATCTAATAGTTTTTTAAAATGTCATTTTCACCAGTCCTACTTAAAAAAAATAATAATAGGGAATTCTAACACTTCACGATACATTTTTATTAATTATTTTGTTTGGTCAAATATCTCTATGTTTATATTTGTTGCAAGCCCAACATTAAATGATACCTCCCTTTTCCAGAGGATATACAGTTAAGAGAGGCTATTCACTCTGCTTCTTCTAGCTGCTGCTTCTTTTTTTTTTTTTTTGAGACAGGGTTCTCACTTTGTCACTCAGGCTAGAGTGGAGTGGCTAGATCATAGCTCACTGCAACCTCCTCCTCCTGGGCTCAAGCAATCCTCCCACCTCAGCATCCCGAGTAGCTGACACTACAGCTTGTACTTGTATTTCCTGCAGGGACGGGGTTTCGCCATGTTCCCCAGGTTGGTCAGGAACTCCTGGACTCAAGTGATCCCCCTGCCTCCACCTCCCACAGTGCTGAGATTACAAGCATGAGCCACTATGCCCAGCCAATTCTCTTTAGAGAATGTTAGCCCTGCCAAAGAGTTGTTTATGGACCATCTCAAATCCCAAATCTTTAAAAGTCCTCTATAAACCAGCTGAATTTGACCCATTTCCAAAGTCCACCTCCCCCGACTTCTTTCCGCTCTTTTCCTCTTTGCAAACTGAATTTGCAATTCCCTAAAAAACAGAGTTGCCTAAGGTTTGTATCCAGTACGGGTCACGTGACCAATTCTTTTCTAATGAAAATGTTAGAGGATGGGATTAACATACCTTTTGTAGGTAAACAATGTTATGATTCACTTTTTTTTTTTTTTTTTTTGGTTGTTGTTGAGTATATTCGCTGCATTTCAGGGTGTGTGATTTGAACAACAGAAATTTAATAATTTATGCAACCAAAAAGTGAACGGTGTTCCTTATGTATTAAGTATGTCAAAATGAGCCTGGAGTGGTTTTGAATTACCACTTGGGGATAATAGATTTCAAGGCAGCATCTCCACTGTGCTTTCTGCATCTTGTGATGATTCTTGAGTTCTGTCCACTCTTACTCGTTTGTATATACCCCACTCAAAAACAGCCAACATCAGCCTCGAAACTATGTTGTTTAAACTCAAGAGCAGTTTTGTTCCATGCTTATATTGTTGACCATACCTTCAGCAGGACCAAGCCATAAATAAATATTTGCTGGTTTGTGTTGATTGAATGATTTAAGATAAATAAACAACCTCAAATGCCTACTGAGGCCAGATAATGTAAATGGGAAAAGCAAACAGCAGGGAGTGGGGTGAACAGGAGCACCCTAGGTTCCTCTAAAGGGTGTGGCTTCAACCACACACTTCAAGCCTATTTTGCACTTTTGGAAAATGGATCCCGGGTTGTCAGAGCTTCTGGTTTTCCAAGAGATGCTGGAATCTGGGTTTTTCATGCAATCCCTCAATGTTTAAAATGTTGGTCATCAATTCAAATTTTTACAATACATTTCGAAGGCCAATACTGTAAATCAAACTAAACACTTCTGGGGAGTCCATGCAACGAATTTGCAATCTTTTCATTAAACAGCACAGCTAATATGAAAACACGCTTTTTTTTTTCTTTTTCTTTTTTGAGACAGAGTCTTATTCTGTTGCCCAGGCTGGAGTGCAGTGGTGCGATCTCGGCTCACCGCAACCTCCGCCTCCCAGGTTCAAGCGATTCTCGTGCCTCAGCCTCCCAAGCAGCTGGGACGACAGGCGTGCACCACCAAGGCTGGCTAATCTTTTGTATTTTAGTAGAGACGGGGTTTCACCATATTGGCAAGGCTGGTCTCGAACTCCTGGCCTCAAACGAACCACCCGCCTCGGCCTCCCAAAGAGCTGGAATTACAGGCGTGAGCCACCGCGTTCAGCGAAAACACACATTTTCTAGGAAACTGATTGCTGGGAAGGCTACAGTGGGTAAGAGCTCTTGCTCTCTGTGGGCCTGCCTGGGTCGGGATAGGGGCAGTGCTCTCTGCCTAAGTGAACTTGGGCAATTTTCTGCAAACCTCAGTTTCCGCACCTGTAAAGTAGCAACAGTTGTTCTGAGGACGGAATGAGAGAATGCATGCCAAAGCCCTTAGCATGAAGCGGCTCCCAGTAACCGTTAACTACTCCTAATTACTACTCCTCATAATAGAATTACTCATGGCCTCGCTAAATATTGTGCAAATAATTTCACGTTCCCAGGTAGCTCATTCCTCCCACAAAAGATTTGAACGTTTTGCGTATGATAACGATCCACTTGTTTTTGCTAAACATCCAGAACGGGCGATATCGACCTATCTGGAAGCTCGCACACAAATCCCTTCCCAATTCAAACACGATGTTCTTTCTGGCTGGCACCAGAGCTTCTGTTTGCAGTGACTTCCTGGGACCCGGCGCCTTCTCACAGGGCCTCTGGTTCTCCTCTGCGCTGATTACGGTTCTTCCCATTTCCCTTCCCTGTTACTGCCCATACTCTTCAAGTTCGAAAAGTTTCCTTTTCCAATCCCTTTCCGGGACTTGTTTACCCAAGTCTCTAATTGCCAAGGCCTTTGGTCTCTCCCCACCCACAACTTTCCTCCTGGGAAAACTCTCCTCCTGGGAAAACCCTTCTCCTCCCGCCACTCCCAGCTCCCGCCACCACTGCCGCTGACGACGCCCAGCGTTTGCAGATGGTCAAAGCCGATTCCCTTCTCCTCCCACCCCGTTTTGTAAGGAAGTAATTTCGCGGCCGAGGGCTCTGCGCCCCCAGCCGCGGGTCGGCGGCGCCGCGGGTCGGGAGCGTGTCCGGGCAGGTCGCGCTCGGCGGGGGACTTCCCCGCCCGCCTGGGTCGCGCGTCCGCTCCCCGAGCGCCGTCTGTGGGGCGGGGACAGGGGCGGGCCCGGCGTCTAGTTTCCCTACGTCACCGGGGAAGTTCTTATTGGACAAAAGCGTGGTCTCTGGCGCGAGGACCTCATAGGTTCCCGGGCACTCACCGAGTGTACTTGGCAGTTCCGCGCGTCCGAGCAGTCGATCCCGGCACCCCTGCCCGCGGGTCTGTTCGTGTTCAGCTCGCGTCCTGCAGACGTCCGACGTGCTCCAGTTGAAGACCGAGGTTCCCGGGCTCTAGCTGAGTGGGCGGCGGCACCGGTGGAGATGCCTGGGAAGAAGGCGCGCAAGAACGCGCAACCGAGCCCAACGCGGGCTCAGGCAGGTACCGACCCGCTGGGGCCAGCCAAGACCCAGGCTGAGCGGGGTCGGGGCCGGGGTGGAGGTCTCGGTCGGGGCGGGTTCAGCCCGTCGGGGCTCGGGCACAGACTGCGCAGGGGCTCAAGGTCGGGCCAGGTCTGTGCCCTGGCGCGAGCCTTAGGGGCGCCTCCAGAAAGTTCTTCGGGGGTTTTCCCCAGGACAGCGGGGACGGCAGGGACGGCGAGGGACCAGGCCGGATTTGGGATTGGGATGCAGCTGCATTACACCAGAGGCAAAAAGCTCGTCTCCTCCTCCCCACTTGTCCTTCCGCGGGGCCACGAGGAACAAGTGCAAGTGTAGGCGGCTGCTTCTGGGAGAAAGTGATTGTCGCGGCAGAAGGGGCAAGAGAGGACTCCGGAGACCGCCTGGACTCCCAGCCCTTCCAGAGACGGCCCCACAAGGGCAACCTGTGTTCAGGAGCCTAGAAAATCTTGTAATATTTAAATAATCGATCATGTGGGAGTTGGGGATAGGAGAATAGGAGTTAGTCCGCTTCCTTTTTTCATTCATTCATTCTCACTCCCCGCCCCCATACTTACAACTCCATCATAACTTTTCAGGCCAGCGCCCCGGCCCCATCCTTTTTCTAAATCTAACCAGAGCCCGAAATCTGTGTGGGCCATACTGCTGTTGCATCAGACGATTATACGCCCCCCCGCCCCCCGACCTTTTAAGTTACTTTCATTTTATAGAGCTCCTGGGGCGTACTAAGGAAGTGGAAGTGGTGCATTGCAAATGTGACCATGCCTAAGTTGGTAACAGGCTGCTGTCTCTGGCTCTTGTGTAGGATGGAAAAAACTTTGTCTACCTTTTGTGATGTCCTAGGATTCTGACCGTGTTTCTTTCTGAAGGATCTTACCTGTGCATAGCACTTTCTGGTCCGACTTAATTCCCAAGAATAAGAAGCAGCACAAAGTTCCCCTTAAACTTGATTTGATTGATACGAATACATTTATAGGTGTGTAACTGCAATTTTTAAAAAATTAAGGAAGTGAACGGGAACTATTTTCTGCCTTGTTTTCTACATTTTTGGTGAAAGGGATAACTTTTCCACTTAGAATTCAGGGCTTCCAATGTCGGATGCTGAATGTTATTTGGTGTTTCTTTTTTACTTTTAGGACTGTATATTAATATATCTCAATTTCTGTAGAACACATGTCTATGTAAATACTTCCCAAAATGTTTGATCCTGTAGCCCATAAAGAATAACGTCTTAGGAGATTTATTAGGTCTCTTGGTGTAGGAGTTAGGAAATATTTCACTCACCTCTTGTAGAGAGAAATTGGTTGAAATATAGGTTTAAAATTTTGCTTTACTATATATTTACAGCTTTGATTTGTTTTGAACCTAAATAGAGTATTTTCAGAGTCGATTTATAAAATAGACCAGATTTTAATTTGTAATCATTATTTTTAATGTTTGTAGTCATGAAGTAAACTCAGAAGACCTCAAGCTGCTCTTTGAAATATTCAAGAAAATTGAAATTATAGTCAGTATAGATATGATATTATAGTCAGTATAATGTTAACTGCACTTACTGAAAAAAGTGTACTTGGAAATTATAAGCATTATTTTTCTTAATATTCAGTTTAGAATAACTCAGTTCCAAAAAGTAGTACATATGTGAATTAAACATCACTTATTTTCTGCTCCTCTCATTCGCATAAAGGCAAAGGATTGGTACAGAATGGGGTTATAAGAAGAAGTGGGGTTACATTAAAATAGAAATGTTTAAATTATTTTAGAGAATGTGGACTTAATTTTAGAATAAGATTTTATGAGTCTTTTGTGAGAAAATTACAGAGTTTTTTTAAATGAAAAAAAGAATACATTTAGATTTGCCTATATAATGAGAGTATAACCTAAGCTGTAAATTATTGCCATTTGAAAATCAAATCCTACTTGAAAGCCACACAGAACTTGACTTCTGTTTCCCAGCCATCCTTAAATGAAAGAGAAAAAGATGACATCATCTAAGGCTGGTAAAATGACTAATGCTACTCTTTGTACTATCTGACATATTTGAAAGTAAGGTAACACTTGCCTCATCCAGGATGCATTTTTAAAAAACTCAAAGTAAATGTCTTTATTCTTACCTCAACGATTGCTTTTGGTGAGTCACAATGTGTGTGTGTGTGTGTGTGTGTGTGTTTTCCATTTGGAAAACAGGTGCATATAAAGCCAAAGTTAAGAGAAATGCTTCGTGGGATACTCAGTTTGTCACTAGTGTGGGCGTATTAGGTCTTGCTGGTTACAGTTTGTAATATCATCAATGTTAATGTCCATGTTTTGCTTTCCTTCTCAGAGCTCGAAGTCGAGTGTGCTACTCAACTCAGGAGATTTGGAGACAAACTGAACTTCCGGCAGAAACTTCTGAATCTGATAGCCAAACTCTTCTGCTCAGGAACCTGACTGCATCAAAAACTTGCATAAGGGGACTCCAAAAGAGACTTTTTCTCAGGAGGTGCACACTTCATCAATTTGAAGAAAGATTGCATTGTAATTGGGAGGAATGTGAAGGCACATTCACGGGTGCCCTTGGAAACGGAAGATGGAATACATCAAAGTGAATTTCTGCTTGAGATTTCCCAGATTATCATTCTTTGGGATGAGAGAACATTATAAAACCACTTTGTTTATTTTAAAGAAAGAATGGAAGACCCTTGAAAATAAGGAAGTAATTATTGACACATTTCTTTTTTACTTAGAGAATTGTTCTAGTGTTTTTGCTGAAGGTTACTGCTGGCCTAGTGTAAAGGGAGATGACCAATGATTAGACTGGGCGGCTGGGAAGAAACAGTTCAGTGCTTTGTTGTTGCTGTTTTTGGTGTTTTGCTTTTCAATGCCAACTCAGCACAATGTATATGATTCGGTTTATACATATTACCTTGTTATAAGGAAAAAATTCATTCTGAGAACACTGAAATGTTAGAGTCAATGTTGATTTCTTAGGTCACTACACAATGTAAAATCATTTGTTTCTTTTGACTCAAATTGTATGGCTTCTGTTCAGATGATCTTTCATTCAATGTGTTCCTGTTGGGCATTAGTGGAAACTATGGAAAACTGGAAAATAACTTTGAAAAAATTGGATAGAAGTATAGGAGGGTTACTTGGGGCCAGTAAATCGGTAGACTGAACATTCAATATAATAAAAGAACACAGGGATTTTGTGTAACCAGGGATAATTAAAAGAAAAAAGAAGTTGATTTTTAATTGATGTTTTTAAAACTTAGTAAAACAAATATTCAGAAGTAACTTGATAAGAAATGAATGTTTCTAAAGAAGTTTCTAAAGATTTGGAAAATGCTCCTTGTCACGTTAGTTAGTGTGCACCCTACAAAAAGTGACCTTTTAATATAAATTAAGAATATTTTTATAATTGGAATATACTTTTCTTAAAAAAAAGGAACAGATAGTTTCATCTAGAATGAAAGTTCCACATATGCATCAGTGAATATAGGTATCTACACATACTTACCTACTTATATGGATATCTGTATAGATAATTTGTATTAGAGTATTATATAGATTCTTAGAAGGGTCGCAAGTAAGTTTCATTTTTTATCTGGGCTATATACAGTCCTTAAATGCATAAAAGAAATAATGCCATGATTTTATTTCAGCAAAAATAATTTTATTTATTTTGCCTATTTATAGTTAAAATATTTTTCTTTAGTTTGAAAATGTGTATTAAAGTTATGTTTTTGAGTTACGAGAGTCTTATAACTACTTGAATTTTTAGTTAAAATATCTTAATGTAGGTTATAGTCACTTTAGATGGAAGATTACCTCACATATGTTTTCTTCAGTATTACTTAAGATTGTTTATTTAGTGGCCGAGTTTTTTTCTTTTCAGCCTAGAGGCAGATATCTTACCATCTGGTATTTATGGTCTATCTTGTATTTAAATATATGTACACATATAAAAGTTGATACTGTGGCAGTAAACTATTAAAAGTTTTCACTGTTCTTTTCTGTGTGTTAATTTTGTCTTCATCTTGTAAGCTGCTGACTAGTAAGTGTTCATTATCAAGCCAAAGTATGTTAACTGATTTCCATCAGCAGACATCCTCTGACCTTCTGACCACACGGTCTCCTCCCAGTAGTTGGAGTAGAAAATATAGGAGAATTTGCATGATTTCTGCTGTCAAGGGACTTACACTTTAATTGGGAGGGAAAATAGTGAAAAATAGGAAATGAATGCCCTACATAGGTCCTTTTTTTTTTTTTTTTTTTAATTTCTTCTGAGACAGAGTCTTGCTCTGTCCCCCAGGCTGGAGTGCAGTGGCACGATTTTGGCTCACTGCAACCTATGCCTCCCGGGTCTGAGTGATTGTTGTGCTAAAGCCTCCTCACCGCGCCACCACACTGGGCTAATTTTTGTGTTTTTAGTAGAGATGGGGATTTCACCATGTTGGCCAGGCTGGTCTTGAATTCCTGGCCTCAAGTCATCTGCCTGCTTCGGCCTCCCAAAGTGCTGGGATTACAGCCTATAGAGATTCATGACCTCATTAGAGGTGTTTTGTGAGCTGGCATCCTTGACTGCTCCTGGGTCTGTCTGGCAAGAGGAGCTACAGGACGGTTTCCTTTTTGGCGACCTCACACTTCTTCCTCTGCTTCCAGCGCTAGAGTAGCAAAGATTGCTTCATCTGAGGTTAGTCATGTGCAAAAGTAGATGTAACTCAATGGCCTTCCTGTTTGAGTGTGTGAACTAAAAGATACCCCTAGTTTTTAGCTTCGATCTGGGAGCCACATCTTCACCCCACCCCTGCCCTGGGAAAGAGTCAGCTGACCCCTTAGAATGTAAATTGCCTTCCTAAAATGGGAAACGTGGGGAAAGGAGGAGGAGTTACTAGAGGAAAAGAAGAACCGGAAAGCTGAAGGATGCGGGGGTTATGGACAAGATATATAACAATGCCTGCAGGGAAAGACTTCCGTCTGGGAAAGTGGGGTGGGGGCGGGAGCTTGGCTTCAGAAAGGGTGGGGACAAACTGCATGGTTTGATTTGAGAATCACTGGAAGAGTAACTCCTGTCCCTAAGACTCTTCGCATAGCCAGAACTGTTTTGCTAAATGTGCACCTCAGTAGTTCTTGCCACCACTAGAAAACAAATAAGGAAAAAAGTGTACCTTAAGCTTTTCTTTTATATAAAGAGTAACACATGAAAGTTTAGGCACAGATTCACAATCTTCAGGTATTAGAACTATATATTTTTTTGAGAACCATATTTTAATGTTAAAAAATGTCCAAGATGTTCAGGCAATTCTAATTATATCTGTTGACTGACAACAGCTAGCTTTTAAATTTGCATTTATATTATAAAAGAAAATGTATCTACCGGTGAATCAGTTGTTCTTCAGTTTAAAGAACTGTGTGTTGTGATTTGGGTTTTGGAATCCATTGCAATAACTCTACAAACCTCTCCCTACGCCACTTCCTCTCCTCAATCACTGAGCAGAAACCACCTAAAGGGTCAAAAATCCTGTAAATCTCCTTGTCAGTCGTCAAAGGGGACGATCCATCAGGAAGAGAACCAACACCTTAAAAATAGATTTCTTAGGTCACTACACAACATAAAATCATTTGCTTCTTTTGACTCAAATTGTATTGCTTCTGTTCAGATGATCTTTCATTCATTCAGTGTGTTCCTGTGGTAACTGGAAGTGGTGTGACTGGAAGTGGTGTGATACAAGGAGTATCCCACTTTAGAATCCTGAAGCTGGACTTTCAAGACAAAATCACGAATGAGCTGGGTGACCTTGGACAAGACAACCTCTCTAAGCCACATTTAATCTGAAATTGAGACTTAGATCATCTTTAAGGTCCCTGAAGTTGGAATCATAAAATGGGATGGCAAAGCAGTCTGAAGAAGGTCTCTCACCTAGTTCCAAGTCTGTTGGCCCCCACTTCTGAGCTCATTTCAGACACTGTAAGAGGGAAGTTAAGGGTTTGCAAAAAGAAGCAGGGGAGTGGGATTTTAAAAGACCTCCCAAAATTTCTGTTTTCTGGATTCTTCTCCCAAACATTGACTTTAAGTCTTAGAGGAGGTTGAGTGGGAACCTCTTGGACTTGTATTTCTTGGAAAGGAGAGTTTGCTTTGCATGCAAGCTTTCCCAGTGATGATATCACTGCCGGAATTCCTTCTTATGTGTAGCTGAAAATAGATAGGGTCACCTGATAGACACACCCTGCCGTGTCATCACGTGGATTTTTTCAAGTAATAGTTCCTGGTTAAAGAGCAAAACATTTGTCAATACTGCCCACGCACTAACTTCAGTTTCTCTTTTAAACACTTACAGAAATCTGTTCAGCCAATTCAGGGTGAAACATTCATGCTCATGATTTATTCCCTTATGGTTTTCTTCCAAGTATGCCATTCTTAAAATCACCAGAGAAATGGGAGAGTTGATAAGAGTTATAGATGGGGATTTTGGATTCTTTAATTTAGCAAGTTATTAACCACATGCTCTGCGCACCTCCCAACCACCCCCCTGCCCTGATCCATTCCATGTAATCTATGCTCTCTGCCATTAGACATTGCTCAGTGCGAGAAGCCTCGGCTTGGGTTTACACTGTGCAATAAGATAGAACAGAACAACATAGAATGTGCAAATAACTCCTTGGTATTTCTTGTGTTTCAGGAAAAAGACCTCTATTGTTCTTCTCATGCTCTGTCACTATGATCTCTAGCAGAGCCTATGAGATTTGCCCATTTCCAAATTCCCATCTTTACTCAGCCATTTTCAGAACGACTGTGTCCCTCTTCCACAGTTGTCATTGTCATTGTCTCTGGTTTCAGAATTGTCTTTTTGCCACTTTGTGCGACTCTGGATAAATATTTGATCTCTGTTTTCTTATAAACTGGTCCAAAATATATCTATTTCAAAGCATCGTTGAGAATCAAATGAGATGAGATGAACACAGTGCCTGGTTCACAGTCAGTGTCCATTAAGTGAGTTAACTTTTCTGACAAGACAGAGGAAGGGTTAGAGATTAGCTTTCTTACAAAGCTATGGAAGATCTTACCCAATTAAGATTGTTAGACTGAACCGAAACCTTTCAAAGGAAGGCGGGTAGGGCAGTGGTGGAGCTGGAGGGGAAGTGGCAGTTTTTCCCTTGATGAGGCCATCTGCTTTTCATTTATAAACTCTTAGTAATGGTAAACCGTTTTTTTTTTTTTTCCACCTGGTATACAACAGGTTTCACAAGCACTATTTAATTGTCCAAATCCCCTTGTATGTATTCATATAAAAATTCAGGTCCTGATTTACATAATAACATCTCAAGAAGTAGAAAGAAAGTTCCAGTCTAGTTATTTTTGACTGGGGTAAGGTTAGATTTGGGTACAGTAATTCTTCAAAAGGGAATCTTGAAATGCTCTCCCTGAGATAAGACAAAAAATGCATTAATTTGGAAAACACAGGTCAAAGCCCAGCTGCCTTTGTTTTTGCCTTTAGGGAGTCAGTTGCATGCATCCACAGGGGTGCAATAGTGCTACTTTAAGACTATACTTATATAACTCATATATACTCATATATATATGTATATACATACGTACACATTTGAGTATATACTAATAGGAACAAAACTTCCACTAGATAAATACTACTCACTGACAAACCCATTATGTGCCAAATACTTTAGAAACATAAATTTATTAATTCACCTGGTGCTCACACACTGCTATTGGGAAGGTATGATTATCTTTTTCATTCTATAGTCAAGGAAGCAGCCTCAGAGAAGCAGCAGTGTCCTCAAAGTCCCAAAGTAGTCAATTGGCAAATGAGGAGAAGTCACAGGATTTGAACTTGGGCTTTTCTCTCTTTCTTTCTTTCTTTTTTTTTTTTTTAGACAATCTCGCTCTATTGCCCAGGCTGGAGTGCAGTGGTGTAATCTTGGCTCACTGCAGTTTCCACCTCCTGGGTTCAAGCGATTCTTGTGCCTCATCCTCCTGAGTAGCTGGGATTACAGGCTCACACCACCACGCTTGGCTAATTTTGCAGCAAAGATAGGGTTTTGACATGTTGGCCAGGCTGGTCTCGAACTCGTGACCTCAAGTGATCTGCTCTCCTCGGCCTTCTAAGGTGCTGGGATTACAGGTGTGAGCCACCTTGCCGGGCCTGAACTTGTGCCTTTCTGACCTCAAAATTCTTTTATCTTCCTACCACAATGCGACTGCCTCCCAGCGTGGGGCTGGAGGCAGGATCCCCATCCCAGAGCAACGCTAGTTTGTTTTCCATCCAGTGTCTCATTAATTACAACCAAGGTTTACACCCCTGCGTGTTCCGAGGAAGGCTGATGATTAAGTCAGCTGACATGCAAAAAAAAAAAAAAAAATAGAGCAATCATTGCGGCCCCCATTTGCACTCATCTGGTATAGGGGCTTTCCAATCTGCAGGAATAAATGAGACTAACCCTATAAATTGTCTCACTTGCTAGGTAGTGCCAGCCAGCCAGGCACAGTCATGTGGCATCTCACTCCCAGAGAGATTTTGTGGGGGAGGAGAATAGAATTAATTCTGAAAGAAACAGCATTCATGGGCTCCTTTTTACCAACTTAAGCCAAAACAGCACCTACTGAGACAGACCTGCAGGAGCTATTTGTAAATGGAAAGAAAGGTATTAAAAGAAGCCTGTCAAAACAGCAACGGGTGTGTTTTTCCGGCTCCCCTGCAGTATCCACCCTATTTCAGCAAGTCTAGGCAGAAGTCAGGAAGGAAGAAAAAATGGTTGCCACTACTTTTAAAAAAACCAAACAACAGAGAACATCTAGACTAACCAGTGTATGTTTGTGATGATTCATTTTGGACAAGTGTTGAGAACCCGTCAGAAATCAGTGGGTGGTTATATTGTGAAATCCTCTGGTTTCACAAAGCCTGCATTTTTAGTAAGAGATTCCCAAATGCTGTCTTCAAGAAACATGCGTTTATTGATTCATCAGGAAAACACTCCCCTTTTCCTATCTGAATA